AAAGAAAGAAAGAAAGAAAGAAAGGAAGGAAGGAAGGAAGGAAGAAGAAAAAAAAGGAAAGAAGAAAGAAAGAAAGAAAGAGGAAGGAAAGAAAGAAGGACAGACAGCTGGTAAGGGGAACTGGCCTACACCCCCAGGGGCAGCTCCTGATCCTATGTAAAAGTAAAATGGCACCTCCCCTCCCTAAAATGCCAGTCTCAGCCCTCTGTCCTCTTCCTAATTTCTGCCTGTGGCATCTGACCCAGGGACCACCTGCCCCCTCTGCAAAGGTTCCTGCCTCTTGCTGTTGTTAATGTTTGCTGTGAGGGCGTGTATACTCTCCAGAAAAAAAGAGAAAAACAGAGAGAAGTGAGAAAGCACCCGCAGGGGCTGCTCCATTCTCTCAGGTTTTGGACATTCAAAAGCATGGGCCCACCATGTTTTTCTAGACTCCGAGTCTGGGTCTCAACCCGCGCAATCAACTTTGTGGGGTTGCAGCTACCTTAACTACCACGCCACCTGCTGGTCCACATTCTTGCCTTGGTCCTGGACTCAGTGTGGCCCAGCTTGCATTTCCCTGCATGCCCTAGTTGAGTCCGTATGTGGTCCAGCCCACATCCCTCCTTGCCCCGCTGAGCTCACTATCGCCGTCGATGTCATCGTCACAGGCATCACCCCGGCCATCATTATCTGTATCCTTCTGATCGTCATTCTTCTGGGACCGGCAGTTGTCGCACGCATCTCCCCACTTGTCATTGTCTGTGTTCCGCTGATGTGAGAAAGCACCCGCAGGGGCTGCTCCATTCTCTCAGGTTTTGGACATTCAAAAGCATGGGCCCACCATGTTTTTCTAGACTCCGAGTCTGGGTCTCAACCCGCGCAATCAACTTTGTGGGGTTGCAGCTACCTTAACTACCACGCCACCTGCTGGTCCACATTCTTGCCTTGGTCCTGGACTCGTGTGGCCCAGCTTGCATTTCCCTGCATGCCCTAGTTGAGTCCGTATGTGGTCCAGCCCACATCCCTCCTTGCCCCGCTGAGCTCACTATCGCCGTCGATGTCATCGTCACAGGCATCACCCCGGCCATCATTATCTGTATCCTTCTGATCGTCATTCTTCTGGGACCGGCAGTTGTCGCACGCATCTCCCCACTTGTCATTGTCTGTGTTCCGCTGATCTGGGTTCCGCACCAGGGGACAGTTGTCCTGGGTGACAGGGTGGGCTCATAAAGGTCTGGTCGGAATGGCAAAAGCTACTCCCCAAATTGGATTTATCTCCATGTCCCCGCCCCCATTCGAACCAGGCTCCATTCCGTCCCTCCTAAGCCCCGCCCCTAGCCTTACCTCTTCGTTGGGGACCCCGTCTCCATCTGCATCCGGGTCGCAGGCGTCTCCGATGCCATCACGGTCCACATCTTCCTGCCCTGAGTTGGGCACCGTCACGCAGTTGTCCTGGGTGCAGATAGGGAAAGCGTGAGGGGCGTGACCAAGAGAGCCCCGCCCATTTCTGACCACGCCCCCTACCCAGTCCCGCTCCTACTCGGCCCCGCCCACCTTGCGGCACTGACGCTCGGAGCAGCGTAGCTTCTCGTCTGGGAAGCCGTCCAGGTCGGTGTCGCGACCACAAAGGAGCCCGTTGCCTGCCCAGCCGACGGCGCACTGCATGGGGAGGGAGAATTAGTGGGTGCCCGATTGTAACCGTCCCCCTCCTCGGCCCTTCCTGCCTGCACTCACCACGCACGACCGCGAGCCATCGCGTTCCAGGATGCAGTCTGCCTTCTCGTGGCATGGGCTAGGCGTCCCGTCGGGGCACAAGCGTTGTGAGCGCCGCTTGCAGCCTGACGCTTGATCACCCACGAAGCCCGGCTGGCACTGGCCACACTGGAAGGAACCCTGCATCCGGGTTGGACCGCAGGTGGTCAGTGTGGGCAGCTGGATCCCTCGCCCCACCTGCTGCCATCCTTCCTCCCTCCCCCACGAGCCTTACCCGGGTGTTGATACACACGGAGTTGGGGACGCAGTTATGTTGCCCGGTCTCGCACTCGTTAATGTCCGTGCAGACCTGGGGGAGGGGAACTCGGAGGTCACCACCACACGCAGGCACTCCCTACCCCCCAACACTCGGTCCAACCTCCTCAGAGCCCAGCCTCCTTCTCTATCCTGCCTCCAACCTCAAGCACCCCTGATCCCCTGATCCGCGGGGGTTTGAGGCCCCTCTTGGGACCAGCAGGTGGCACAATGATTATGTCGCTGGACTTCCACGTAGGCCACTGCGGTTCGAGTCTCCGACCTGGCACCTTAAAACTTATGCCGGTGGTGTGTGCGTGCATGCCCAAAATCCCGAGAGGAGACTGGGGGAGAAGGGATTGTGGTATGGCCACTCCCCCTGGGGAGGGGTGATTTTTTGCTTTCTGTCTCTGTGTGTCTCTCTAGAGAGCGCATGCGCCCTATACAAAAAACAAAAAAAAAGAAAAAAAACTCAAAAAAAGGGGGGGACCAGCAGGTTGCATGGTGGTTAAGGCACTGGAAACTCCCACATCGGTTGACCACAGTTCGATTCCCGGACCTGGTGGCTTGCTTTCTCACTTTCTCCCTCTGTCCGTCTTTGGTCAATTAAAAATAAATGAATGAATAAATCAAATTAAATAAATAAATATATTTTAAAAGCCCCCCTGTTTCCCTTCTGCTTCAGAAGTAAACCCCCACCCCTATGCACACACGCCCCTTACCTGCTTGTTGGCCTTGGCGAACGCCAGTCCTACACCCTCGTGGGTAGGGCCAGTGTACCCAGGCGGGCAAGCCTCACAGCGGAACCCCGGACTGGTGTTGATGCAGCGGACGCGAGGGAAGCAGGGGTGGGCGTTGCACTGGGGGAGGGGGACCACGGAGGGTCAGAGGATCCGGAGCTGGGCCTTGAGTTTCCCTGGGCCTTGAGTTTCCGGGTGGGTTCGGAAAGTTCAAAGGCCCTCAGCCCGCACTTGCAGTTAGGCGCCACAAGGGACAGAGGCAATGGTCCCCAGGGTCAGAGGAGATTGCTGTGATTGGTTGGGAGAGTGACAAAGCGGAGGAAGGGGCTCGCCTGGAGGTGGCTGTTCCCTATGGGTGGGGGGAGGAGTGAGGTGGGCGGGCATCCCCAGCGGAGGGGGGCAGTGGTCGTCGGGGCGTGCGTGCCCGGCGGCGATGGGGTCTTTGTGGCATACGCCCCCTGGTGGTGGAAGGGTCACCAGGGCGGGCAACCCCGGGCATTGAGGTGTGTACTCGAGGTGGGCCACCCCCGACGGTGATGGAGCCGTCCTGGTGGGCCTCACTGGAGATGGAGGGAATCGTCTGGGCGGGTATCCCGGATGGTGATGGGGGTGGTCCGGGCGCGCTTCCCCTGGGAGTGAGGGCTTCCTCGGGACGGTCGCCTCCAGTGGAGGAGGGGACCGTCGGGGGGGGGGGGGGCTGGGGAGGGGACAGTGGGGGGATCGTCAGGGCGGTGCGCGATGGGGGCGGGGCCCCCGAGCGCACCTCGTTGATGTCCGTGCAGTGCGAGCCGTTGCCCGTGAAGCCCGCGGGGCAGGGGCCGCAGCGCGCGCCACTCGCCGTCGGGGTGCAGGCCACGCCAGGGAAGCAGGAGCCCGGAGCACAGTAGGGTAGAGGCCGCA